AGCTGACTTGTTCTCATTCAGACATTTCGTCACCATGCTAGGTGACATCATTAGTGGAGCCACTGATGAAGCCTTACAAAGAGATGTTGAAAGATTAAGTGAACAGCTGAAACAATGGCAAATGGCTCCTGGTGTAAGCAAATGTGGGGTCCTAACATGGGTGGAACAGAATGTTCTCTGGGTGCCACACAGTGGCTCATTGTGGAAAAATGCCAGGGAATATCTGTTCACAAAAAGCAGGACAAATCCAATCTAGTCAGTAATATTGCAGGAGTTCCTCAGGGTTGAGCCTTAACCGCAACCATGTTCAACTACTTCACAACCGACCTTCCCTCTTTCATAAGAATAGAAGTAGGAATGATTTAATGCAGGGTGTTCACCTTTAATGACACCACAGACTGAAGATGTCCATGTCTCGTTTGCACCATCCATGGTTGTGCTAAGTGGCAATTAAAATTTGAGACACTCAAGTGGCAGGCAGTTGCTCGCTCAAACAAATGAGGATTTGACTATCTCCACTTGACATTCAGTGGTAGTAGGGTGGTTGAATCTCCCACTATTAATGTGCCTTCGGGTTACCATTTGCAGATACTAAACTGGACCAGACAAATAAATACTGTGGACATAAACATACTCGCTCTTGTGCACAGGATGCTTTACGCTGCCTGGATTGGTGGAGCTGCATTAACACTCAAGAAGCTCCATAAACCATCTAGGAGAAAGCAGCCCATCTGACTCGTACCCCACTGTCTTCTCCATTGATGCCAAGTGGCAACAGTGTGTAGCACTTGCAAGATTCACTGCAGTAATTCACCAGGTTGCTGTACCAGCTAGAAGGACAAGAATAGCAGATGTAAGAGAATCATTTGCACATTTCCCTCAAAGCTCCATGCAACCTTTAGAGGTTTATAAAATCATGAGAGGCATAGACAAGATAAATAGCCAAGGTCTTTTTCCAAGGGTACCGGAGTCCAAAACTAGATGGCATAGGTTTAAGGTGAGAGGGAAAACATTTAAAAAGGACCTGAGGGGCAACTTTTTCATGCAGCGTGGTGCATATAGGGAACGAGCTGTCAGGAAGTGGTAGAAGAGAGTACGATTACATTTACAAGACATTTAGATGGGTGCATGAATAGAAAAGGTTTCGAGGGATATGGGTGAGCGTAGACAAATGGGACTAGGATATTTGATTGGCATGGATGAGTTGGTCCAAAGGGTCTGTTTCCGTGCTGTATGACACAATGACTCTGATTATTGTTTGGATTTACTGAAACTACTGATTAAAAAGTAAATATCCAACCCTTCCTCCGTTACCATTCCCATTGATAGTATCACCGTTAAACTGTTTGCTTACAGCAAATATTTTTGTCTAATTTAAGTGTAACATTTTGTCAATTTTGATATTGCCCGTAAGTTTCCTTTATATTTGCTATCTGTAGCCCTTGCGCTCTCGTTTGTCTTTCTTTGTATTTCTTCCATTTCCCAGGAATTTGCAATTTCATGATTTTATTCTTTTTGTTTTCTCTTGCTACTTTATTGGTTTGCTATTTTGGCAGGTAGATTTAATATTGAGGTCAACCTTCTTGAATTGTTTCTCCTTTTTGGTTATGGGTTTAAACTCATTGTGATCTCAGTTAGGTAAATTTTCAAATATTGTTAAATGTAGTACTTAGTATTTGTTAAATCAAATATGGCTTGTTGGCTTTAGGACATTCTGTTGCAGAAAACTATGCTGAGAACACTTGAACTCTGACATTTGCTCACCTGCTTATTTCAATCTATAAGAAAACTAAAACCCTCTGTCCATTAAAACTCAGGGCAATGTGGTGGGTGGTGCAGCAGGGATTGGGTGTCTCCATAGCCCCTTCTCCATTAAAAATGGTGCCACACGTGTATGTGTTCTTGACTACAAAGAAGAGGGCCTGTGTGTAAATAGATACTCCATACAGGTGTATAAAGTAACTTGTTCTTCTGCTCTAATGTTTTATTTCCAATGCAAATGTATTCCTCTTTAAGTAGGTATAAAAAAGTGCACAGTATCTTGGGTGTTGTCTCACTGATACTCTGTCCAATTGTAATAGGACTTCACTACTTTTGTACTCCATGCTTCTTGTTGCAAAGGCCAATATTCTGTTTACCTTCCGCTGTACCTGTTGCTTATGTTTTGAGATTCATGTACAAGGACACCCAGATCCCTTGTAGCATTTAAAATTTGCTATCTATCCATGTTACCAGAGTGGATAACCTTACATTTTTCCTATTTTATTCCCAAGTACTGCTCGTTTGCACAACCTAGGACATGCTTCGCAGACTCCTTTTATATGTTGCTCACACCTTGCTTTTTTTCCTATCTTTGTTTCATCAGGCTAGAATGAAATTTGGCTAGAAGGCAGGCAGTCTCACCTGAGTTCTGCTGTATGCCTCTATAAGTCATTAACATAAAATGTAAATAGTTGAAGCTCCATTCGTTACAGTTTGCAAACCTGAAAACAGCTCATTACTCCAAACTCTGTTTTGTTAGCAAAGACTCTATCAATGTTAATGTGTTCCTCCCGCTTTGTCATGCACACTTTATTTCTGTGGAGTCAACTTTTATTTGGCACCTGATTGAACACCTCTGGGACTTCATCTGGTTTCCCTTTAGCCGCCCTGCTTGTTATATGCTCAGCCGACTCTAATAAATTCTGCAAATACTATTTCCTTTTCAAAAAACCAAGTTGATTTTTAAAAATAAATGTTCATTCATGGACAGTGAATGTTGCTGGCTAGACCATCATTGATTGCCCATCGATATTTTCCAGAGGGCAGTTAAGAATCAACCGCATTGTTGAGTGAAAGCAATTTCCTTCCCTAAAAGACATTAATAAATGACGTGTGTTTTTCTGACAATCAGCAATCGTATGATCATCAGCCTCTTAATACTAGATTTATAATTGAATTGACATTCCACCATCTGCCATGTTGGGTTTTGAACCTTGATTCCAGAACATTGCCTGGGTCTCTGGATTATTAGTAATTGTAATGCCACCAGGCCAATCTGTTTGATTGTATTCAGATTTTCAAAATTTTCTACTACTCTTTTAATGGATTCTAGCATTTTACCAATGAGAAATGTTGGTGTTTCTGTATATATGTATATGTGAAATATATATGGTGGCATGTACTTGCAATGTCATTTTGGTTATATGGCATGATGTCTAGCTTGAGAGAAATTGATTGCATTTAAAAAGTTACTTACAAATTAAATGAAGCAGAGATGGTAAATGGTTCTTGTTGGTGATAGGTATGTTACACTGGCTGCACTGATAATTAATGTCAGCTATCTATATGTAGTGCCTTTAACAGAACGAAACTTTTCTAGGTGCTTCAGTGGAGCATTATAAAACAAAGTGTGACATAACAAGACATGAGATCTAATGTCAAATGACCAAACATTTGGTCATAAAGTTGGGTTGTAAGTGTAAGAGGAGAAAAGCCAAGTAGAGAGGTGCAGGGAAACTTAGGTAGCTGATGGAACAGCCACGAATACGGACCCATTGTGATTGACGATGCACAAAATGGTAGAGTTAAGACAGGTACGGATATCTTGGAGAGGTAAGGATAAATTTGGGAATGATAGCATGTTTGGAGGTGGGATGATAGTTTGCAAGGACAAAGGGTGAAAGGTTTGTTTTTGGAGGTGAAGGGTGATGACAACAGATTTAAAGGACAGAGCAGAAACACTTGAAAGGATGGAACCATTATCAACCTCAGCTAAACTGGGATTCTGGAGGGGAAGTTGTGTGGTCAACTGTTTATTGAGAATAGGAGTGAACGATTAGGTGCTGAGTCTCATGGATAAAATGATTTGTGAAGTCAAGAAATCACGATTTCCCCTTGCTGCTGAAGGTGGAGGGGACAGGGACTTAAGGAAATGTTCTGTAGTCAGGAAAAAAGGCGGGATGTTATCTTTGATTCCCAGAATAGGGTGCAGAGGTTGGAGATAATTATCCAGAAACATGAGTCCCTTTCCCACTGCAGTAGCTGAGGAATTTACTTCAAATTACTTGAAGAAATCGGAACTGCAAAGCTCAGTAATAGTGGCAATGAAATTACCAACTTGTCACACAACCTGTCTTGTTCACGTATGTCCTTTTAAGAATCCTTTCAGATTCCTAGGCCTTCACATTCTGGAACTTGTTCCCAACACATCTCTGCCTTCCTCTTATATGACGCATTCATCTCCTCTGAGACCAAGCTTTTGGTCATTTGATGGTGATATCTGCTTGTGACTTTCTGCATACTGCTTACCCAGTCCAGCGTATATACGATTCCATGCCCAGAGCAATGTGGTTTACCCTTACCTGTGTGCTTAGTTTCTTGCATGTTAGTATGACAGTGGCTTACTAATTCTACCTTTGAAGGTGTTTGTGGTGGCCATCAATGCTAACATTTGTAAAATTTTTGCCAAACAATTTAAGGAATTTGTGGTTAAAGGATAAACTGATGTCTGTTGGCAGAGGTAAATTTCAGCATGTTTATTGTTTCACGTTATAAGTATGTAGTTAAAATAAAGCTAGTGCCAGGTTGGCCTTTGTGATTTTGAGGATACTGAATAATTAATTGAAACAGGTCTTCTCAGCACTATGTAACTGAGTTCTCATTAGGAATATCTGTCTTTGAGATCTTACCATCAATGGTATAGTAGCTTTGGAGAGAGAACTGCAAGCAGCTAGGATTATTTTATAACTTGGCATAGTGAGGACTGAATAACTCTTCCATTGGAGAAAAACAGATCAATGGTGAACATGACTCAAACTTTTATTTTTAAATAGACAAGAGATACTGTGAATCAAGACATTGAATGTATTCTGCCGAATACACCCCTTTGAGCAGGGCTGTTGAGGAATGTAAGATAAAATAATAGCCCTTTCACTGGTTATTTTTTATCATCAGGATTCAAAAATATGCTGATCTCTAAGTTCAGTTGGTTAGCAAACTTTTGTGATTTCTTTTTAAAGATGTGGACCATGTGTGAGAATAGCTCCAGCTTTCAGTGCAATGAGTTCCAAATACCCACATGCTGTCTTCTTGGAGGTTGATGTACATCAGTGTCAGGTGAGTAGGTCGAAAATGCCTATGATTGATTGATTAATGAATTAAAAACAAGACTTATCTGAAGCCGTCCAAATGTTTTTTACCTTTACTTAAAATGATTCAGCTAATATGCCTACCATGCTGCAATATACAGCCCCCTCTTTCTTCCTCTTGGCATCATCACTGTTTTTCTGTAGACCCCAGAGATCTCAAGTCTTCTGTTATCTTAGTTTTTTCAATTTCAAACTTCATATCGTGTCATCACTCCCTGACTTCGCTACTATCCATTGTTTTCTGTCTTTGTATCATGGAGTCATAACGACACTGTTCAGTCTATTGAAATCACGATAGTCCTCTACTAGTTGTTTTAGACAGTTCCAAAGACTGTTTCAAAATTCATGGTGCAATCTAAATTATTGTATTGGTGCCCATCCAATTTATGATGTGTTCTTTCACTTCTTGCCCCAGTGTGAATTGTCAATGCTGTACAACATGGCAGAGAAATTTTGGAAGAGACCTTCCCATAGGTATAATATACTCTTTAGCACGTCAAGGGAACATATTGTGAAAAATATTATTTTGCTAGGTAAAGCCCGTTAGAAATGTTGAGCATTTGAAGGCTCAGATGTGTAGTAACAGCTCTATAATTGTTTTGAGCAAGCACAACTATGTACCAAACCTTGTCTGAGTAAACAGAGAGCTTTCAGATTTTGATTTTGAAGCTGTCAACTTGAGGTGCTGTCGCAAAAACTTCATATTTTTTGAAATGTTCGTTAATTAAGTGTAATTTTGTTTTGGAAAAAGATATTCTTGATATTGAATTGGGGTTGCCAGTGCAAGAAAGACACTGATACAATGATAAGACTTGAAGTTGATGTCAACACAGGGTTTATTCCATGTGCAAATGCCAGTATAGATTAGGAGTCAACAACCTCTTCTTAAAAATAAAAACCTTTTTAAAGTATAATAAACGTTACTCAATGTCAATAGTGGAAAATGCGCAAAATGGGACAGAGATGCATTTCAGTGATTTTAAGATTTTTGTAAAAATCTTAATGGGCATATTCTAGTAAATAAATGTTTAGAAAGCAACAAGCCATTCAATTGCCATTAATGTGGGTAGGATCAATCAAGGTAAGCAGCAATCCACGAGTCCTTGTTGAACTGCTTGTGGTTCTGAAGGTCAAGGGTCAGCAACCTGTGCCTATGCTATAGTTAAACTGTTGTGTGCATAATGTGGCCATACGGTGCTGCAAAGTACTGAACGTATTCCGCTCCCAATGTTGACATTCCTTATTAATGGCAAAAATGTGTTGAATAAAACAGTTCCCTGTCACCTTCCTTCTCCTTTAAAGCATAGTGACTTGTTGAGAAGATGATGAGAGTTTGTGGCAGGTGCAATAAACTGGCAATTGATGGACATTTTTAAACAACTTGTTTAAGACATGTAAGGCACATACCTGGATCAGGTGAAATTTGAACCTAGGTAGGGACACTACCACTGCACCACAAGAAACTTAAACTTCTATACTTGAGTGTTTCCTTTAATGTTTTGAGCCACATCAACTTAATTTGATGTAACAAATTTAATGTAACACTTAAATATGATTTATAGGGGAATGGTAGACCCCAAACAATACATCAAAAAAAAGTCATGATATGGACAAAAGTGCAATCGAATAAATTCAGTTTTTTTTTTGAGGGTGCCAGAGAAAAGTAGTCAGGCAGCAATAATAGAATGAACTGTGTTTAACAAGTATTATGGCCAATGGGAAACAAAGTAGCAGGATAACATCTGTGGGGTTGGATTCAATCACATGGAAAAGTATGAAAAGCAAGGAGAACTCAGGAAAGATTATTAAAGTCTCCAGCCCACAACATAGGACAGTGTGCTTGGAAAGGGTTAGGAATCAAACTTCAGGTACACCGGGTAAATGAAAGACAATGAGGAGGGAATGTCAATACAGGACTGAATGTGTAGAATGTGAATGCACGTAGTAAGTGAAATAGGGTAAATGACCTTGTGGCGCACATCAAAATTGGCAGGTATGATGTGGTGGGCATCATGGAGATGTGGCTGCAAGGGGATCAGGATTGGGAGCAAAATATCCAAGGATATGCATTCTATCAAAAAGACAGGCAGTTGGACAGAGAGGGTGGGTTGCCTTATTAGTAAGAAACTACAATAAATCAAAAGCAAGAAAAAAAAGTAGGTCCAAATGATGTAGAATCTGTGTGAGTAGAGTTGTGGAACTGCAAAGGTAACAGAACCATAATTGAAACAGCACAAAATATACCAGGAGGTAGAAAAGGTGTTGAAGAGATCATGGGGGATTTCAGTATGCAGGTGGACTGGGAAAATCAAGTTGGTACAAAAACAAAGTTGCTGGAAAAGCTCAGCAGGTCTGGCGGCATCTGTGAAGGAAAAAACAGAGTTAATGTTTTGGGTCCGGTGACCCTTCCGCAGAACTGATTTACACCGTCCGCAGTTCTTTTGGTTTTTAATCAGGTTGGTAGTGGATTGCAAGAAAAGGAATTTGTGGAATGTCTACGGAATGGCTTTTTGGAGCAGCTTGCGTTGGAGTCCACTGGGGAACAGGCAATTCTGGATTTAGTGTTGTGTAATGAGGCAGGCTTGATAAGGCAGCTTCAGGTGATGGAACCCTTAAGAGGCAGTGACCATAATATGATAGAATTTACTCTGCAATTTGAGAGGGAGAAGGTGGAATCAGATGAACGGTATTACTGTTGAATAACGGCAACTAAAGAGGCATGAAGGAAGAGCTGACAAGAATTGACTGGGAGAGGAGCCTAGCAGGAAAGACCGTGGAATAGCAATGGCAAGAGTTTCTGGGAATAATTCAGAAGAGACAGCAAAAATTCATTCCTAGGAAAAAGAAGCATATTAAAGGGAAGATGAGGTAACCATGGCTGACGAGAAGCAGGGACAGCGTAAAAGCAAAAGAGAAAGCATATAATGTGGCAAAGGGCAGCAGGAAGCTAGAGGATTGGGAAGCCGACAAAGACCAACAGAGAGTAAAGAGAAAAGAAATAACGAGGGAGAAGATTAAATATGAGGGTAATCTAGCCAGTAATATAAAAGAAGATTGCAAGAGTTTCTTTAGACATACAAAGAGCAAAAGAGAGGCAAAAGTGGACATCGGGTTGCTGGAGAAGTAGTCTTACAAAGGAGTGGTTGAACTCCTCAATCTGTTAAAGGAAATTTGAAAAGTGGTATAACCCGCCTTTCACCTCCCAATCTGTTATGGAGAGGTGAAACAAAATGAACTTCTTACAGTCTCTCTACAGTCAAAAAATAAATTTTTGTCTAACTCTAACTGTTAACAAGTTAACAGAACTACTAACAAACTGAACAATTCCCCCTTAACTACTATTACCTAACTAACTATTCCCAAATAAAACAAAGTTCTAATAGTATGCTGCTCCAATAGATACAAGTCCCGCTTGTATAAACCAAATTAATTTATAAAATTTAAAGCTTAATCTCTCAAAATTACAGCCAGGATAAATCTTCCAGAATATTCTTTGCCTTCTCTGTTGCCTTCCAGTCAGGAATGACGCCTTCTGTCAAATTCTTGTATCAGGAATATTAGCTAAGAGTGCCATAGTACCTTTATTTAGATGATGCTTACTCTCTGAGATGTTGGATATTTCTGTGAGAGCTGGTGATTTTCTTTGTTTACAATTGATGGCTGTTGAGAGCTGTTCTCTTAACAGATGGCAGTTTGCTCTCTCTCTGATTTTTAAATGCCCTCTTCTTTTATACCCTTGATGACCTATTAATTTCTTATAACAGGATTGGTCCGAGGTTGTCAAAACCAACAAATTTAATTGAGCTTTGGTATCTAGGGCCTGGTTTAAATTAATTGGCTAAATTCAAAACCTGTTGTCTTAGTAAAACTGCACCTCCCAGTCGTGAACCATTTCAACTCCCCCTCCCACTCCTTGGACGACATGTCCATCCTGGGCTTCCTGCAGTGCCACAATGATGCCACCCGAAGGTTGCAGGAACAGCATCTCATATTGCGCTTGGGAACCCTTCAGCCCAATGGTATCAATGTGGACTTCACAAGCTTCAAAATCTCCCCGCCTCCGACCGCATCCCAAAACCAGCCCAGCTCGTCCCTGCCTCCCTAACCTGTCCTCCCACCTCAAGCCCCACCCCCATCTCCTACCTACTAGCCTCATCCCGCCTCGTTGACCTGCCCGTCCTCCCTGGACCGACCTGTCCCCTCCCTAACTCCCCACCTACACTCACCTTTGCTGCCTCCAACCCCGCCTCTTTGACCTGTCTGTCTCCTCTCCACCTATCTTCTCCTTTATCCATCTTCTAACGACCTCTCCCTATTTATTTCAGAATCTCCTTCCCCTCCCCCATTTCTGAAGAAGGGTCTAGACCTGAAACATCAGCTTTCCTGCTCCTCTGATGCTGCTTGGCCTGCTGTGTTCATCCAGCTCTACACCTTGTTATCTCAGATACTCCAGCATTGGCAGTTCTTACTTTCTCTGTGACAGTCTTAGTAAAAATGCTGCTTTACCTGCTAATGGTATAGCCTTTTGATACAATGTTTCAATTTCAACAACTCTGTGGATCTGCTGACTGCAGACATTTGTTTAAACTCCAAGCCTAAAAAACACACAGCGACCACGAACTGTTTCCCCCTACCATTTTATGAACAAATTCTAAAGTCCTACCTTACAATCCACAAGTACAGTACCGATGTCGCAACAGTAGTAATGGAGAACAAAGAAATGACTGAGGAACTGATTAAGTACTTTGCATCAGTCTTTACGATAGAAGACACGAGTTATATCACAAAAATTCAAGAGAGTTGGGGCAGAGGTGAGTGTGGCTGTCATCATCAAGGAGAAGGTGTTAGAAAAACTGAAAGGTCTGAAGGTGGATAAACCAGCTTGACCAGATGAACTACATTCGAGTTCTGAAGGAGATAGCTGAAGCAATAGTGGAGGCATTACTATTGATCTTTCAGGAATCAATGGAGTCAGGGAGGGGGTCTCAGGACTGGAAAATTGCTAATATAACCCCCCATTTAAGAAGAGTGTAAGGTATAAGACAGGAAATTACAGGCCACTTAGCCTGACCTTGGTCGTTGGTAAGATTTTGGAATCCACTGTGAAGGATGAGATTTCTGAAAACTTGGAAGTGTATGCTAAAATAGGGCAAATTCAGCATGGTTTCATCAATGGGAGGTCATGCCTGACAAATCTGTCAGAATTCTTTGCGGAGGTAATTAACAGGTGAGGCCAAGGAGAGCCAATGGATGTCGTCTTTCTGGACTTCCGGGAGGCCTTTGACAAGGTGCCGCATAGGAGGCTGCTGATTAAGATAAGGGTCCATGGTGTTAGAGGCAAGGGGCAAGCATGGACAGAAGACTTGCTGTCTGGCAGAAAGCAGAGAGTAGGGATGAAAGCGTCCTTCTCGGGATGGCAGCCGGTGACAAGTGGTGTTCCACAAGGATCGGTGTTGGGACCACAACTTTTCACTTTATACATGAATGATCTACGTGAAGGAACTGAGGGCATTCTGGCTAAGTTTGCAGATGGTGGAAGGACAAGTAGTAGTAAGGAGGTGGGGAGGGTGCAGAAGGATTTAGATGAGTTAGGAGAGTGGGCCAAGAAGTGGCAGATGGGATACAATGTGGGAAAGTCATGCACTTTGGTCCGAAGTGTGGAAGCATAGACTATTTTCTAAATGGGGAGAAAATTCAGAAATTTGAAGTGCAAAGGGACTTGGGAGTCTTAATCCAGGATTCTCTTAAGGTAAACTGGCAGGTTGAGTTAGTAGTTAGGAAGGCAAATCCAGTGTTGGCATTTATTTCGAGAGAACTAGAATATAAAAGCAGGGATGTAATTCTGAAGCTTTATAAAGCTCTGTTCAGACCGCATTTAGAGTAATGAGTGATTTTACGCCCCATACCTCAGCAAGGATGTACTTGCCCTGGAGCAGGTCCAGAGGAGATTCACAAGAATGATCCCAGGAATGAACAGCTTAATATGAGGAACATTTGAGGACTTTGTGTCTATAGTCGATGGTGTTTAGAAGGATGAGGGGGGATCTAATTGAAACTTACAGAATACTGAATGGCCTGGACAGAGTTGATGTTGGGAAGATGTTTCCATTGGCAGGAGAAACTAGGACCCGAGGGCCTTAGAATAAAGGTCAGACCCTTTAGAATAGAGGCGAGGAGAAATGTCTTCAGCCAGGGAATGATGAATCTACGGAATTCATTGCCACGGAAGTCTGTGGAGGCCAGGTCATTTAGTATATTTAAGACAGATAGATAAGTTCTTGATTTTCAAGGGGCTCAAGGTTTGCAGGGAGAAAGCATGAGAATGGGGTTGAGAAACTGACCAACCATGATTGAATAGTGGAGCAAACCTGATGGACCGAATGGCCTAATTTCTGCTCCTATGTCTTATGATCTTATGGTTTGATTATTGAAAGCTGTCTTAGATTTTAAAGAGATGGTGTTCAGGCAGGGAGGATCTGCTAAACATCGGGTTGGAGAAGAAAGTGGAAAGATTTACAAGATTTCTGAGGATAGATGAAGATTTTTAATGTGATGACCCTGTGATTCTCCAGAATGACATTGATTGTGCTTGAATTTTTATGGAATAGTATAGAAGCTATGGAGTTCTGAATGGGAAACGGTTAGAGTGGATCTTGAAACTGATGAAGAAAATTGTGGACAAATCAAACTTTGAGGGATTTCAGCAGTCGTACCAGTGAGTTGCAGGTGCAGATTACCACGTAACTGAGGGAAGGTTACCCAGTTACAGGATTTGAAACTCAGCATAGGATCATACAGGATATGTGTAATTTAAATGCGACTTTTTCTGTATCAAAGGCTTCCTTCTGTCTTCCTGAACTTCATGCTTCCATTATCCCCTGTGCCCCACCGTCCTTCAGCATTGTCTAGTATATATCCTATAATCTGAATTTGATTTCAATCCCAGGGAATTAGAAATTAGAAATAGTTCTGTTTCATTTAAGTTTTAAAATTATTAATAAACTTGTTACTGTTTCAGCAAACAGCAACAGCCAACAACATCACAGCAACACCATCATTTTTATTCTTCCGAAATAAAGTAAGAATTGACCACCTTCATGGAGCAGATGCCAATGGATTAGAAGAGAAAATCAAACAGCATCTGGAAAATGATCCTGGAATTGAAGATCTGGACATTCCCAGAGGATATGTAAGTAAAACATGGTTCTGTGAAAACCATAAGCACGTTTTTTTAAGTGAGTTATTGCTTCCTTGTCACTCATGAAAATTATCCAATATTACTTTGAACTGTTTTTGAATATCTTGTATCCTGTTCTGTCAAAGAAAAGCCTAGCATATTCGCAGTCATGCTTCCTCTTTCTCTTAAGTTGGCCAGAATTCAAGAAGGAAATGGCAGTTTTTCTCATCCAGCAATAAGTGTCTGGAGTGCGATACTTGAATGGATGGAAACAGATTCAGTTGTAGCTTTTAGAATGTAAATACTGAATAGAACAGAAATTTACACAGCTCTGGCAGAAAAACAGGAGAGAGGTGCTTGATTGCACTTTCTTGACATTTGGGTTGCATGATTCTAAAATTCTATTCTCCATGCAAGCAAGGGAGCTCTAATTTAAAGGCTTACAAGCTGGCAAGGGTATGCTAAGCTGTTTGAGGTTTGAATGGCTGAGAAATACGTGTGCATCATTTTTAAATCACTCACTTTGGCTTGAAGTATCGAATTAAGAAAACTAAGCTACTTAGAGAAAAGCGCTTAAGAATTTGTAGTCAAGTTACAACTAATGAAGTACCAATCCTGATGACGCCTCATGTGTATGGTGGGCAAAATGGCCACCTTCTCTGCTGCATCATTCTGTAAATGTATTTGTTCAGTCATTAGAGTTGAGATTTGAATCTATCACCTTTTTAATACAGATGTGAGAGCATGGTTAATGCATCATGGCTGACACCATAAGGTAAATCTTCCTTCGTCAGCACATTAAAAACAAATATTCTGGGGGACAAACCAACACAATTGAGCTTGAAGATTCTGGGAAATCCCACTTTTAGACAAACAATGCAAACCTTGTCAGCACATGATTAAATTATAACATAATATCACTGACCTAATTAGGTAAGTACAAAATGTTATTGCTCAGCAAAACAAACCAAAATTTGGTTTGACAAGATCATGGGAAAGTGCTTAAAGTTACACACCAGTGAATCGGCCTAATATTCTTTACTAAAGAATTCATTGCTAACTGTAATTCATTGTGTGCTACTTCCTTTGGGTTGGGAAGGAAAATCAAATAGATCCCATTCCAAATCCCACCCAATGACTGATTACGATTGGTTATGTCTTTTACAGTTCATTAGTCTGATGCTGACTATTTTAGGTTTGAGTGTGGCTGGACAGCTTGCACCATTGGAAGTACACATTTAGAAAAGGAAGGGTGACAATTTGAAAACACATGAAAGTGGTGCAGGAGCTCCATTGCGTTATTAAGTGACTTGTGAACTCAAGTCTTGAATGTAATGGTTAAAGTTTAAGTAAATAGTATATAATACAGAATTTGGAATGTACAATGTGATCTCCAGTGGAGAAAAATTAGTGTGCTAAACTTTAGTGTACTGTTTGAAACAAGATTTTCTTTTTGATTCCTCATCAGAGTAAAGATATGCTTTAGACTCAGTGTGGGACGGAGTATATATCTCGTCAAATCTGTAATTTATCATGGATTTCAATATAAGAGCTGTGTGTACTTAATACAAGTATTAGTGTCCACCTAGGAAATTCATGTCACTGGTCATGAGTTCCTGTGGGTCCTTGTGACTGGTGAGCCTGATCCTCGAGCCGCATCTCCGACCACATAGTTGGTAGATGTTTGTGGGATGTGGAAGTGATCTTGGCCTTGATTGATACCATTCCTTTTATCTGTTCCTTTTCTGTACTTTCTCAACTGGTGTTCTTGAAGAATTGTGTCCCTTCATACAGGAGTTTCCTCCAAGTTGACTTCTTCTGAACGAGGGTCTTCCATGTTTTGATATGTGTTTCATTTCTTGAGGGAAGCTTTCAGGGAGTCTTTGAAAAACTTTCTCTGTCCTGCTCTTATTTGAGTGGCTTCCTTGAGTTGGTTGAAGAAAATTTCCTTTGGTAGTCTGAACTCAGGCATCCTAAGCACATGGTTTGGATGATCATGGCTTGGTACTGTTGCTGTTAGTTGTTTCAAGGACGCTGATGTTAGCATATGTTTTCCCAGTTGATGCAGAGAACCTATCTCAAATAGCAGTAATGGTAATTTTCAAGGGCCTTGAAGTAGCGTCGATATGTATTCCAAGTTTCAGAGCCATGTAGAAGAGTCACAAGGATGACTGCCTTGTACACAAGGATCAAGCACAGATGTAATAGTCATCAAAGACTCTCATCCTTAGACATCCGAGGGTAGCACTCGGATTTGGATGCCACGTTACATTTCCGATGTTGGCCTTAAATGAGAGGTAGCTTCCCAAGTGAGGTAAATGTTCCATGTTTGGGAGGATTACTCCCTTGATCTTAATGGCAGGATGGACAGGAACTTGCCCTGGCATTCTTGGTAAAAGGTTTGAGTCAGCTTGAGGTTGAGGCTGAGAGCAATTCTTCGGCATGCTTCTGTAAAGGTATTAAGTGAGCCTTGAAGATTCTCTTCTGAGAGAGCAAACGTGATATTGTCATCCAAATTATGAAGTTCCACAAGTGAAATCGATGTTGTTTTCTTCTGGTTTTGGTTGAACAGCTTTCTGCCCATCCTGTAGACAGTGTCCATAGTACTGCGAAGCTTGTTCTTGACAAGAGGAAGAATGGTGGCGGTGAAGATGGAGAAAAGGTGATGACATGTCTTGACCTCAAAGGATTCTGATATTTACTATTGGTGAGACAGTCATTGACATCTTCTTGAGGAGGAGATGGAGGATGTTGATGAAATTTACTGGAAAGCTGGTCTTTGACAGGGGTTCCCATAGCACTACCCGATTGACTAAGCCAAAGGCCTTAGTCGGATAAATGAAGGCCATGTAGAGTTGTAGCTGTTGTTTCTGGCATTTGTCTTGATGTTGCCAAGTAGGGAAAGTCATGCTTGTGATTGCCAATGACAGTTAATGATAAACTGTATGAACAGATTAAGATATTTAGTGTATCAATGAAATGAAATTTCTGTTGCATTTTTGTCAGGTTCCAGCTGCCTTTTTCAATTAAATTGGAGGCTACATTACAGTGGCATGCTCTGGCCCAAGTCACTCCCTAATCTCTGTTCACTGTTATGATACATCAGATCTTTACACTTAGTGTACAATGGTTTTCATGGAGTACTTGAAAATTGATCGAAGAAGTGTTCAGGTCTGGCAGCGTCTGTGGAGAGAGAAACAATTCATATTTTTGGTCAATGTCAATGTCCTTTCATTAGAACTCAACAAGATTCTGTGCAACCTTGTAATTTCTCAAGCGAGCTGTGGAGGGACAGATTTTTTTTAAAATGCAGAGGTAAATGGATTCTTGCCTGACAAGGGAATGTAAGATTATTGGGGGTAGCTGAGAATGTGGAGTTGAGCCCATATTCAGATCAGCAACAATCTACTGAATAACTGAGCAGGTTCAAAAAGCTAGATGCCTCCCTTTTAATCTGTTTGTCTTCATGTCACAGCTGAAACACTTACTGTTGTTCTGTCTCCGTTCTGCCTGACCTTCTTAACAATTCCAACATTTTCTATTTGCAGTTCAAATTTCTAGCCTCTGCAGTTTTTGCTTTCATAATGAAGAATGTCTACTTAATTAAATCAAGTTGCTTTGGTTTTTTTGTTTTTCAGATGGATTTGATGCCTTTTATAAATAAGGCTGGGTGTGAATGTCTTAATGAAAGTGATGAATATGGATTTGACAATTGTCTACAAAAAGACACAACATATTTGGAATCTGATTGTGATGAACAAGTAAGGGTTTTGAATACTTTTGGAATAGGCTAAAAATATAACCTGAATTATGATTTGACAAGATTGTACGCTTAGCAGTGCTTCAAATTGCAACATTTTACATATTTTTTGTAACTTAACTTTTATCCCTCTCCTGTTCTATCTCGTATCGTTTTAAAAAATAACTTGCTAATCATTTCATAGTACAAATTGTTGCTCCTTGAACTGCGTTTTGTTATTTTATAAAACACATTGAAAACATTTAAAGTGGCCTTGTTAGCAAGATGTGCCAATTCTTTTTCATGTTTATCAAATGCAATGCAGTCAGAACAGTAAGTGTAGTGCAGTTGATTTTTTTGTTAAATGCAGTTGAGATCAGTTCCCGTTATCCCTAGAAAAGGACATGGAAGGCCTCTGAGTAAGCCTGATTGGCACAGGTAGTGAGTGGGCCGGTGAATTTAGTAAGTAATGGGTTGCCAATGTGTTGGTACTTAGTACCTAGTTAGTTTATGGATACTTCTTTTTAAAAAAATGCAAGTTATTTTTCCAAATGTTTGCAAATTTGTGTTCTATATAACCTAATATTGAGAAAGTAGAATTGTGACTCCAATGAAATTACATTGGGAAATGTATGGGATTGGCCTCTAATGGTTTTTCATAATTAAATTCTAATTTCTGAGTAGGACAGAAACCAGTTTAGATGTTTCTTGAATTGGGAACTTTTTTTCAACGTGTTGTATCTTTGTCAAATGGGAAACAGATTAGTTTTCACATTCTGTCCATCAATTAGTAGACATCTGAAATAAGTATGTCGATGCATATTAAATGAATTTGGAAGTGCTGTCCATGCTGGACGTTAGACCAACATGCACAACAAATATGAAAGTTGCTTGTGTAACTTTAAGCAGTGTGGTGCATATGGTTGAGGTTCTTTTGAGCATTTCTTGCTTTCTTAATTTCTTATGTAACAGGATCTTTTTTTCTAATTGTTTCTCATAATCTACTGAATCACTTTTAATGATTTCTTTCCAGTTCTGATTCCCTAAGCTGCTTTATAAACTTTGAAGGTTTCTTTGCAAACTCTTGCAGCTTTAGTTCACAAAATAAAACATTTCTGGTAAGATGAAACTGTTCTACTGAACTGTTAATTCTTCTGAATGGAACTCAGACTAAACTAGTGACCCGAGTCTATCTTCTCTGTAATAAAAGTTTAAGCTTGTAGACGCTTCATCCATTAACATTCTGTGTCCTGTCCTTTGCTGAATACCCATCTGCCTTGATTTTAAAAAATTAAAATTCCCAAATGGTGATATAGTAAAGACCTCTCTCATGAGGTGAACAGCATAACAGCATTTAAGGGGATAGTACTCAAACACTTGAGGGCATCAGGAGTAAAAAGGTACCATGTCCAGGCAAGAAGTAGTAAAATGGATGGAGGTATGAGTGGAGCTTAAAGCCACAAAGAGATTTTTCATCCAGAAAGTGTCTGTTACTGTAAATTCGAAGTATTTTATTCTTGATACTTAAGGGATTTTTTTGTTTATTTTTAAACAGCTTCTTGTGACAATAGCATTTAACCAGCCAGTCAAGCTTTATTCAATGAGACTTCAAGCCCCTGACAATGGTGAGTTATATGAAACTCATTTTGGAACATGTTTTAATTTTTATATATTGTTCTTCCCACCAACTGATTTCCCTTTGCTGTAATTAATACATGAATACAAAAGAAAAAGTACAGCACAGGAACAGACCCTTCAGCCCCCAGGCCTGTGCCAGCCATCATGTCCTAATTAATCTAAAAACAAACCTGCCATTTTTCGATCCGTATCCCTCTATTCCCTCCCTATTCATGTACCTATCTAGGTGCCTCTTAAATGCCTTCAATGTGCGCACTTCCACCACCTCTTCAGGTAGTGCATTCCAGACTGTTACCAGTCCCTGTGTGGAAAAACTTCCCTCGCACATCCCCCTTAAACTTTCCCCCTCTGACCTTAAACGTGTGCTCCCTTGTAAGTGAAATTTCAGCCCTGGGAAAAAGCCTCTGACTATCCACCCTCTCTCTGCCCCTCATAATTTTGTAGACCTCTATCAGGTCTCCTCTCAGCCACTGTCTTTCCACTGAAAACAATCCTAGTCTTTTTAATCTTTCCTCATAGTCAATGGCCTGGAGACCAGGCAATATCCTGGTGAATCTTCTCTGTACTCTCTCCACAGCTTCCACATCCTTCTGGTAGTGTGGTGACCAAAACTGCACACAATACTCCAAATGCAGCCTAACAAAGGTTTTGTATAGCTGCAACATGGTTTGCTAACTCTTGTACTCCACACCCGGACGATGAAGGCAAGCATGCCATATGCCGCCTTAATCACCTTGGCTAACTGTGTTGCCACTTTCCGGGAACTGTGGACCTCACGCCCAGATCCGTCAGAATGTTAGTGTTCTTGAGGGTTCTGCCATTTACAATATAATTCACCCCTAAATTTGATCCTCCAAAATGCATCACCTCGCTTTTGTCTGGATTAAACTCCATCTGCCATTTCTGTGCCCAAGTCGCCAACCTATCTATATCCTGTTGTATACTTTCATAGTTGGCACTATCAACAACTCCACCAATTTTTGTGTCATCAGCAAACTTGCTTATCAGACCATCCACATTTTTCTCCAGATCATTTATATACTAAAAACAACAAAAGACCTAAGACTGACCCCTGTGGAACACCACTAGCTGCCGGTCTCCATCCTGAAAAACATCCTTCCACCACTACCCTCTGTCTTCCTTGACCAAGCCAATTTCCTATCCATATAGCCAGGCCACCCTGAATCCCTTGTGATTTTAGTTTTTGTACCAACCTGCTATGTGGGACTTTATCAGATGCCTTACTAAGGTCCATATAAACTACATCCACGGCCCTTTCCTCATCAATTATCCTCATTACCTCTTCAAAAAATTCATTTGGGTTGGTGAGACATGACGTTCCCCGGACAAGCTGCCGGTCACTAACTAGACGATTTTCCTCCAAATGCACATATATCTTGATCCTCAATATCTTCTCCAAGAGCTTCCCTACCACAGATGTCAAGCTCACCGGCCTATATTTTCCTGGATTATCCCAGCATCCTTTCTTAAACAAGGGAACAACATTCACTAATTTCCAGTCCTCTGGAACTTCACCTGTGGTCAACGAGGATGTCAAGGTATCTGTCAATGCCCCAGCTATTTCCTCCCTTGCCTCTCTAAGGTCCACCTTCCCCAGAAGACCTGGGATTACTAGCCTGGAAGTCCTGCGTTTTAGCTCCCTACCTAAGCCCTTGAATTGTCTTCGCAGGACTCCTTCCTTCTTCCTACCCATGTCATTTGTGCCAATGTGGACAATGACTTCTGCCTGTTTTCCCTCCTGCTTCAGGATGTCCTGTACCTGTTCAGAGACATCAAGGACCCTGGCATCGGGGAGGCAACACACCATCCTAGTGTCTCGTTCACAGCCACAAGCGCCTGTCGGTGCCCCTGACTATTGAGTCACCTATTGCTATCGCTTGCCTAGACTTTGCCACACCCTGCTTTGCAGCAGAACCAGCTGTGGTGCCACAGATCTGGCTACTGCTATTACTATCTTCTGAGAGGCTATCCTCCGCAACAGTATTCAAAACGGTATACCTGTTTTGAAAGGGGAATAGCCACAGGAGACTCCTGAGCTACTTGCCTGCCTCTCCTGGCGGTCACCCACCTATCTGCTTGGACCTGTGGTGTGACCACCTCCCTAAAGCTAGAATCTATCACTCTCTCTGTCCCCTGTATGCACCACAGTGTGTCTAGCTGCTTCTCCAACTGAACCACGCAGGCTGTGAGGAGCTGCAGATGCAGTTTTCAGGGACATGCTCCCTGATTTCCCACACCTGACAGGAGGAGCATACCACCACCCTAAATGCCATCTCTGTCCTTTTACACTTTAAAAAAAGAAGAATCTAGCTTTCAACATGGCGCGGTGCATTTCTTTTTGGTTGGAGGCGGTGTGTGAGGATGAGCTAAACATATCTTTTATCGGCACTGCCTTTATTTTTTTTCCTTATGTTCTGCTTTTCTTTGTTCATGTCTGCGTTTGATTCATCTGTTTGTGGTATGTGCATTCAAGGTGTCTGTTTTTGAGCTTTTTTTCACTTGGATAAGAAATATTGCATTGAGAGAAAGCATTAACTTCAGTAATCTGTTCTAACTTGTTCAAAGCATTATGGGTCATGTCAAATCTTTCCGTAGCCCTGTACTTAAAAGTTTAGGCATTTTACTTATATCTTCAGTTACTTTTCATTTTCTGTGTTTATGTAATTTTAGTTAAATTGTTATTGCAAAGGTAAAGATTGGTGTTGTAATGGGGAAAACTCCATGATTGAATGGCATAGATTGGGAACACGTTGCATTGTGAGTAAAATGGTATCTCTGCTAAACAATGAACAGAAAATGTGGAACAAAAGCAAAGCTGCTGGAAAAGCTCGGTAGGTCTGGCAGCATCTGTGGAGGGGAAAACACAGTTAACGTTTTCACCAGACCCGAAACGTTAACTCTGTTTTCTCCTCCACAGATGCTGCCAGACCTGCTGAGCTTTTCCAGCAACTTTGTTTTTGTTCCTGATTTACAGCATCTGCAGTTCTTTTGGTTTTTATTTTGAACAGAAAATGTGCCTTGACACAAAAACAGAATTCCGGCCTTCCTTGCCCCTTGACTTATTTTGACCGTGAAGTTGGTAAGGGAAAAAGTACTATCTGAACTTGCCCCATAATTTTACAATGCTGTATATTATTACCCCACATTATTGGCTTTTAAGAGAGAAAGGAAATTTCAGTGTTTAAAGAAGTGACTGCCCTCTATGTTCATTATTTACTGTGTTGCAACTTATAAGGGCCCATAAAATTCATGGTTTCTTCAAACAAATCTGTTTTTTTGGCAGAGTTTTGATGTTTTTTTTTGGATGTAGCATTTCTGACTTAAGGTGAGGGAAGACTTCATAACTGGTTATGGTTAATTCCAACTAATAGGATTTTTAAAGGACTTGACAGGGTAAATAGTGAGGTGATGTTTCCCTTCATGGGAGAGTCCAGGACAAGAGGGCCTAATCTCAGGATAAAGGGAGCACTAGTTTAAGACTGAGATGAGTATGAATTTCTTCTGAGGGTTGAGAGGCTTTTCAACTCCTTACCACAAAGAGGTATGGGGTACAGTCCTTGTGTATATATAAGGCTGAGATAGACAGATAGATTCCTGATAAGTAAGGAAATCAAGGATTACTGGGAAAAGGCAGGGAAGTGGGTGTGAGGAATATCAAATCAACCATGATCCTATAGAATATTGTCACAAACTTACCTGTTCTTTATGGTCTAAGATGCATGATATGAGACATTAGAACATATAAAACTGAAGTCTGCCTCAAAATCTAAATCTGTTCAGTGGATGGAGTTAATCAAGTATTGTGATCAGTGGATCAGAATGCAGCTCAGTAGCAGGATCACATCAGTCAAGGATTGTTGTGGATAATCAGGTCACTACAAGTAAGAAGAGAAATCTTTATGAATATTTCATCCTCAACCCTGTTGGAGCCCAGCATGTGTGTGGGAATCAATGTTGATTGGTTTTCAAACACTTGCAACCAAACATGCCATTTGGAAGATTATACTTGGTTTCCTCCTGTAACGCTTTCTCCTTTACGCATTGTAATAGATGCCAATTCCCATTCTTTTCAGTTTGCTCCAAATGATACTAAAATGTACGTTGCAATGGTCCTTGTAATATTCCTGCTGTTGAATCAACATAGCTGACCTTACCATCTAGATAGAAATCAACTGCTAGAGTGCTTTAGATGGTGAGGAAACTTAGGAGCTTCATCAACATTGAGCTTTGTGATGTTAGCAAAAAAGTAATGTAGTACCAAATGAAACGAGACGTGATGTTTTTGAGGACAGTCATTGCATCCCCTTGGCATCCCTGTTCTTGAGGGAAATGCCCGGACTCAATCACCTTCAATTACCAGGGTTTTTTATTGACATCCTGTGGATTGAATTAATCAGACTGACCTTCATTCTTATAAGTGCATCTGATTTTTGGCCTATATCAAATGATTGGTTCTTGTTCGACCAGAAAGAATGATGTGCATTTCCTAATGATGAATGATGTTGCTTTGAAAGTTCCACAAAATATTTGCAACCAGCATTGACTAAATCGACAAAATTACTCTGGATGAACTAGGAACTGGAACAGAGCAATGGATAATCTTAATTTCTTGCATTCCACCTGCAAAGTTTGGGTGTACAGCATGGCCACACTTTTGATCAATAAAATTGAAAAAAATGCTGTTTAAAATAGAATCTGTCTATTCTTTGGCAAACGTTCCATAAAGTTGGCATGAGGGAGTAATCACTATCACCTTGAACATGGGAAACTGTCAAATTAGAGTCATCTATGGGGGATCACTCCTCACTGTAGTTCAAGATCATGGAGAATGCTTTTACCAGCTGTCTCTTTGTTTCAAAAAATCAATTCACTTTCAGGTGAAGTTGCTGTGACCAGTCACTATTCATTGAGACTAGAATTCTCCTAGATTCTCAAAGACAGAATGGAGACAATGAAGTTATCTGTTTGTGACATGGTGCGTGATGGGGATTATTGCTTAAGACATCCAGGACCATTGAATGTATTCCTGACTAAAAAGCTGATCAACAGTAGATACCACTTCCCTTTGAATAGATCATTAGAGTGTATGCAGTGATTATTTTACCTCTCTGGTGTGCACTGGATGTCTCCTCTACGCAGCATTTATTTTAGTGATCTATCTAACTCAATTTCATATGAATTTATATATCCTGATCTTATCCCTGTGCTACCTTGACTCCACAGACAAACCCACTATTAACCTGAAGATGGCAGCTTTGTTCTCAGGTCTGCAAAACTGGAGTAGCAGTGGAGTTACCAGTGCACCATAGTGTCACTCTTTGCAGTCAGTTAGTTTCAAACAAGATATATTGAAGGAATTTGGGTGCAATCGTTCTTCAGTAGTGTGAGGTTGAAGCTCATCTGGAACTATTTCCCTAAACTTACAATAAAGTCTTTACTATTGCACTGTTTTAAACACATTTTCCTGAAATTGAGCAGCACAACAGTCCAATGTATAATTTAATTACCACCTGTACAACAGTTCAACACAAGTGTAGTACAGTATTTGCTAGTTCAAAAATCATTTCTTAAAGCATTGGTGGTAGGGATTTCACCTTACTAACATTTGCATACTTTTAAAGGAGAAGGTTGCAAAATGGATATTGATGATTTTCATCTTCCTTGTTGACTATCCATGTTGATTACTTGTGCCCTGCTTTGAATCAATGTAGTATGCTAGTTCCAATCTTTGGTAAAGATTTTTAAGTGTTTAGGCTGTCAGCTTTCATTGGTGCTGACTGGTTTATATAGTTTAATATTTTTGCATTTACAGGCCGAGGTCCCAAATTTGTAAAAGTATTCACCAATTTGCCACGCTCATTTGATTTTGATGATGCTGAAAGAAGTGAACCAACCCAAACCCTGGAGTTAACACCAGAAGACCTCCAAGAGGATGGAGTTGTGCCATTGCGCTATGTCAAATTTCAGAATGTTAATAGTGTAACAGTGAGTGATGTTTGAAATTCACAATTTTTTCTAAGTACTTTCTGCATTGGTGCTTAAGTTTTACTTCATGCTGCAAGCAAAATCTCATTCACGAGATATCTTTGTGTTCCTGTGCATGAAACACAAAGTTACATGCAGATGCTGTACGTAATTAAGAATGCACATGGAATTTTCACCTGTATTGCTTGATGGTTGTAGTTTAAAAATAATTAAGTCTGACTATAACTGTACAAGGTGTTGGTGAAGCAGCAGCTAGAGTGCTGTTTACAGTTTTGGTTCCTGTATTTTAAGAAAAAAATGGACATGTTGATGTTGGAGGCAGTTTGAAAAGCGATTCACTTGGCTGGTTCATAGAAAACCACAGAAGAGGCCCTTAGGTCAATGCAAACTTGATGGGCCAATCTGCACAAGTTCCACTTTCCAGCACTTGGGACCATTTATGACATTTTCAGGTTTTTTTTATTCACTCGTAGAATGTGGGCATCACTGGCTGGCCAGCATTTTTTTATTGCCCGTCCCCAGCTGTCCTTGGGAAGATGGTGGTGAGCTGCCTTCTTGAACTGCTGCAGTCCATATGCTGTAGATTGACCCACAAGGCCTGGCAGTAACTGGTCGTTGCAAAAGTGAACTAGTTTGTGTGCTCTAATTAAATCTCCTGCAATTTAACTTTCGTTTTTCAGCTTTTTATCAAATCAAATCAGGGTGACGAGGACACCACAAGAATTAACTACCTTGCATTTATTGGAACCCCTGTGCAAACAACAAACATGTTGGATTTTAGGCGGGTAAGTTTTACATACTTAAATTTTAATATATTGAGTAACTAGATTAAAGGGATGCATGTGTGAAGTTCTACTTCCTGCCTGTCAGAAACTGATGATAAATGTTGGCCTAGCCAAAGACACTCATGTCCCGTGAACAAATTAAGTAAAAATTGATTATCAGACATAAGAGGCTACACTTGGATGTCTCAAATTTGTGATTCTACAAGGTGATAGACAACAATTCAAAGCCAAGGGGTATTAAAAGCTGGGCCTAAAAGATCTTTTGGACTTTTTTTACTGAAAGATTTTTTGGTTTTCACAGGATGTAAATGTAGCTGCTTAGAACAGCAACAAAAACAGAAATTGCTGGAAAAACCACACCTGCTGAGCTTTTCCAGCAATTTCTGTTTTTGTTTCTGATTTACAGCATCCACAGTTCTTTCGGCTCTATTTTGGTTAGAATAGCATCTTTTGCTCATCTCTTATTAGATATGAAGGTGGTGGTGAGGAGCCTTTTTGAACTATTGCAGTCCACGTAGTGTAGGTACATCCAAGATGCTTTTAAGGAGTGAGTTCCAGGATTTTGACCCAGCCTCAGTGAAGGAATGTTGATATAATTCCATGCTAATTAATGTAGCAGGCTAAAGGTGTTGAATTACATTTTCATGCTCCCTAACTGATGATGTTTGAATCCCCTACAATTCCTGCACACTTTTTATTCTTTCACTGGACGTGGACATCTCTTGCCCTCAATGTTTGTTTGTGGTAATATTGGCCATCTATTGGTGAGGTGCTTTCGATGCAGCAATTAGCCAAGGCTCCAATGCATCTTGTAGATGGCACGCATGTTACTATTATGTCATTGGTGGAGGGAGTGAATATTTAAGGTAATGAATGTAGTGCCAATCATGTAGGCTGCTTTGTCATGGATGTTGAGTGTTGAGGTTCTTGAATATTGTTGGAGTTGCACTTATCCAGACAGTATGAGAGTATTCCTGACTTGCAGATGGTAGACAGACTTTACGGAGTCAAGAATTCCTAGCTTTTGATCTGCTCTTGCAGCCACAATGTTTGTTTAACTGGTCCACTTATGTTTCTAGTCATTTGGTAACCCCGGAGGACGTTAGTGTGGGTTTCAACCACGGTAAAGCTATTGAATATCAAGGGACGATGGTTAGAATCTCTCTTGTTAGAGCTGATCATTGCTTGGCACTTGTGCTGTGAATGGAATTTGTTACTTATCCCGAGCAGGAATATTATCCTAGTCTTGCTGCATATAGACATTGCTGATGCTTGGTAATTGTATGGGAATCTCTTTATTGGGGCTGGCTAATGTAAAAGGTAAAACAATAAACTCGAGTGCTTGTCTTGGTTGCCTTGAGTATTCTTGGATCAGATCTGCTTGTTAAATCCATCCTGTTAAGAGGACAAAAACTTTCACAGGATTCCGGGTATGGTCTAATTTAGTGCCTTATATAATTTTAGCAAAATTTCCTTGTTTGTATACTGCATTTGTATTGAAATAATGGTGAACTGCACATTTGACTTCCCTATTAGCAGCTGAATTTATACGCAAGCTTTCTGTGATAGATCATCTAATTCAGTATCCTGTTCCCGCTCTTGCTCCATACCCTTTAACTCTGTTAGCCAGAGAATGGAATCTATCATCGTCATGAAAACAAACGTAACCTCCCATTTTCCACATTGCATTCCATTGTCAAGTTTTTGCTCCTTCACTTATCCTGTGTATATCCTTCTGCAGACTCTGTCATCCTCACCAGTTGCCACCTTACCTATTTTTGTATCAACTGTTAAAAACAATGGTGAATGTATTCGCTTACATGGTCCAAGTAAATAATTCTGGCCCCAGCCCTGATCCATAATAGTTACAGGTTGCCATCCTGAACATGCCCCTTTGTACTGACTCTGTCTTCTAATAGTTGACCAATTCTCTATCCAGCTAATATATTACTTTCAAAGGCATAAAACCATAAGATGTAGGAGCTGAAGCAGGTCATTCAGCCCGTCGAGTCTGCTGTTCATTTCAATGAGTTCAAGACTGATCTGATAATCCTCAACTCTACTTTCCTGCCTTTTCCCAATAACCTTTACAGATTAAATATCTGTCTGTCTCAGACTCGAATATATTTAGTGACCCGGTCTGTACAGCCCTCTGTAGTTTTCTTTACAATCCACAAATTCACTATATCTTCTGACAAAACACATTCTTCCTCATCTCTGTCTTAGAAGGTTGACTCCCTTATTATGAGATTGTGCCATCTGGTCCTAGATTCTGCCTCAAGGGGAAATGACCTTTCCACGTTGTATCTGTTGAGTCACCTAAGAATCTTGCATGTTTCAATAAGGTTGCATCTGATTTCTAAACTCCACAAAGTACAGGCCAAACGTATGAGGAGAGTCTTCCATACCTGGGATAAACCTAGTGAACCTTGTCTGGACTGCCTCCAACACTATATTTTTCCTTAGGTAAGAGGCCACAGACTGTTCACAGTATTCTAGCTGCGGTCTGACACTACTGTACCTTGTGTATTAGCAAGACTTTATGGTTTTTATACTCCATTCCCTTTAAAATAAAAGCTGGCATTCCATTTCAGCAGAATTCTAGGTAAGATTTTGTCAACTGACAGATTTATACCCCAATACATTGTTAAAAGTATTAATTTTTTTTGTAAAATCAATACTCTAAATTTGTTTTCCTAGATTGCTGGAAAGAAAGGAGAAAGCCACTAGCTGAATGAAGGAAATACTGCAATGTCGATTGTGTGTTGATTCGACCACACTTGGCCAATACTATTTTCTGGATTCTTGCAATGTCATCAATACCATGACTCTTGATTTGGTTCCCTAAAGTCTCTTGCTTCCAGACTTCCAAGCAAATCATTGTTCAGTTCAAAATATTTTGTGGATTATTCTTGATTGTGATGAACTGGTTTAATTATTTTCTGCAACATGAAAATTAGTCGTTCTGGAAGTCATCTTGGGATGCACCTGAAAGTTAAAGTTGTGCAATTAACCTTGCTGTAAAACTAGCCAACTTAAATATGGTGATACTTTCCAGATCTTTGTGGATTCCAATGGTAAGCTGGTAGCTGTTTCCTCTAAATTGAAGAAATATAAACATGACTGCATTTGCTGTCTGTTAATTCTAATGCTAATAGTCTTGGATAATTAAAATAATGTTTACCTATTTTTGCCAATGGATTGTCTTTTATGTCAAAAATTAACTTCAGGCATGTTGAATATGCATTTTGATATTTTCTTTTGGTAAATTGTGAACTTTTCAAATAGTGATATGCTTCACTTTTTATCTTAGGGTCTTATTGAAACTTCAAAACCCTCATCAAGCTCGATATGCACTTCTCTCTGATTTATATGGATGCATAGTGCCATGTACTTGACTAGATGAATAGTCATGTTGTAGCAGGGAAATCCAAAATGTCACATGCAATATCATGATTCAATCCATTTTTTTTGCAAAAAAGTAAACATCCACAAACGGATTATACTGGAGTACTGTAATAAAAACAAAAGTGGTGGAAACATTCAGCAGCATCTGTGGAGAGATAATCAAGTTGAGGTGACTTTCCATCAGAAATCAAATGCTATGCCTATTGGGACCCCATATTAACAACAGAAAGAAGATAATTTGCTTGTATACAATATCTTTTCATGACCTTAAGATGCCCAGAAATGCACCATGGGCAGACACATGGCTGATGCATTTTAATGTTGAGTTCAAAGTGATGTGCTCTAAGATAAATAACGCTGGAAGGTATTATCTAAATGATATTATTTTTGAGGGGGAAGACAAGCAAAAGGGACACATTGTACAATGCTGAAAAACTTTAAAGTGTTCAAACAATGTTTATAAGATCGTTAAGAAAACATGTGGGATTCTTGTCTTTGTAAACCGGGGTAGAGTACAAAAACAAGAAAGTTGTGCTCAACGTACAAACTACAGACTAGAGTATCGTACTTTAAAGGACAATGTCAGACCTTGGAAAGGGCACAAAGGTGGTTTACCAGGCTATACCAAGGATGATTGATTTCAGTTATGCGTAATGATTTGGGAAGCTGTGTTGCAGTTTTTCAGTAGGGAAGCCTTACAGAAAAGGAGACTTGTAATAGAAGTATTCCGAGTTGAGGGATGTTGACCGATCAAGTAGGGAGAATATGTTCCTCTGACAAAAACTTCAGAAGTTATGAAGAAGAGTCTTAAAGTTAATTCTATATCTCCCAACAGATGCTACCAGATCCACTGAGTTTCTTCGGCATTCTGTTTGTTTCAAACATCTACGTCACTTGATCAAACTCTTCCTCTTTTTTTAAAGATGTCTTGGGTCACCCTTTAGTCTTCTATTTTTATTCTTTAACGGTACGGGCATGCAAAACAAGAGTGGAAATAAAACAATTTAGGCATCTCAAACCTGCTGCAACATTCAATAACATTGTGGCTGATCTGTTTATTTTAGAATTCCACATTCCCATTTACCCTGCAATCTTAGCATTCTTGTTGGGCAAGATAGTCAATTTCTGCTTTGAAAAGAATTTAGTAACCTTGCCTTCTGAGGCAGAGTGTTTCAAAGTTTCATGTCGCAACAATGTATTTCAGAGCAGGAGTAGCCCATCAACCCTTTGAGCCTGGTCCACTGTTCAATATGATCATTGTTAATCGCCTAAGTCAGTACCCTGTTCCCGCTTTTCTCTTCATCCTTTGATCCTTTAGTCCTAAGAAATAATTCTACATCTTCCTTGAAAGTCTTCAATTTTTGATCTCAACAGTTTCTGTGACAGAGAATTCCATAGGCTCACCACTCTGGGTGAAGAAATTCCTTATCTCTGTCCTGAAGGACCTACCCTTATCCTTAGACTGTGACCTCGGGTTGTGGACTCTCTCCTCATCGAGAGCATCCTTCTGCATCGACCCTGTCTGGTCTGTTTAGAATTTAATAGATTTCAAAGAGATCACACACCCCACGCCATTGCATGTCCTAGTGAATATAGTCTAATTGATCCAGCCTGTCTCCATATGTCAGTCCCATCATTCTAGGAATCAGTCTGGTAAACCACCTTTGCACTCCTTCAATAACCAGACATCTTTCCTCGGATAAGGAGACTAAAACTGTACTCGGTACTTTGAGTGTGGTCTTCCCATGCCCAGTACAACTTCTCTTGAGGTGAAAGATAATATCCCATTGCTCTCCTAATTACATGCTATACCTGCATATTAACATTCTGCTACTCATGCATTTGAGCACTTGAATTCCTTTGTACCTTAGAATTCATAGAATCCTAGATCATAGAATCCCTACAGCATGGAAGCAAGCCATTTGCCCCATCGAATCCACATGGACCCTCCGAAGAACATCCCACCTACACCTACTTCCCATTGAAGCAATATTTCTTTTTCATCCTTCCTGCCAAAGTAAGCAGCTTCCCTTTAAACTATTTTGTAAATCTCTTACTGCTTCTATATTTTTGTTATGGAGCCAGAATTGTGTACAGTACTCTCCAAAGTGGCCTAGCTAAGATTCTGTGCAATAATCAAAATGTGCATGCTCAGGATGCAGAGCTCTAGTTGAAAATTTAATGTAATTTCTGCAAAGTAGTAATGAGTCAGTCTCCAGATTTTCAAAATGATTAAGAATTTGAATTGAAACCTTTAAATAGCAAGGGTTCATTTAAATGGCATAGGTGTAAGGTCATTGAATTTTTAATATTGTTTAAAGGTTAACTTTTGAATGTTAATTTTAATTACTTTTTTAAGCTTTACTGGGAAGAGTGATGAAAGAGGAGGTTTAATGATGTTTATAGATTAAATCAATAAGTATTGAAAAATAGTGTTTTCAAGTGTGTGGCTAAAGGTACTGGAATAAAATTAAAACTTTGTGCAGGAATCAGTGCAGGCAAGTTGAGCTAAATGGCCAGCTTCTGTGCTATGAAATTATAATTTACTTCATTTTGTATGTACATTTTTCTTTCCATGACTTTTCAGTGGTCACTTGTATTCTGGCCACACGCTGCTGTTCCATTTTTTTTAGCGAGATGAGCTGAGGCACTGAGTAACTACAGAAATTCCTTCCCTTGCAAAAAAAAATATTGACCAGATGAACAAGAACACAGAAAGCAAAATAAAACTGAAAAGTGTAATTTTCAATGTATGGGTCTTGGGTTAGACTCCTGCAGGAAAGCATTTCTTTGTGCAATGTCACCCAGTTTTCATTTCCACAACTATTTTGTTTCGGTATAACTGAAGGACACAAGTTGATTTTGGACCCTCTGTTTTGAAGAAGCTAGTTACCTGCAAAGAAGCCATAGTTGTGTTTTTCTGGCAGGGTAAGGCTATAAAGTAGTAAGATTAGAGACAGTGCTATGCCTTGATCCCAGCTTCTGTGCTCTTAGATTTCCTTATGCACTGCACCTTTTGTAACTTTCAGCTGTCTAACCTTGTTCAGTAGACCTGTTGTGGGCGATACCTGAAATTGATCTAGGTGCCGTGTGCTCAAATCCATTTTTGCACTCCGTAGATGTATCTACCCATGCTCTGGACAGTTACAAGTCTTTATACTATGCTGTATAATTCAAAATACATATCTGGTCAAGTCACTGGTGACGTGTGTGACATGTGGGAGATAGTCATTGTTTAAGTTGATGTTGTAGCTGCGTAATTCTGCCAAATTCATCACTGACTTGGCAAGAACATAAAAATAGACAAGGTCCATTTTTTGCTAAGGTTTATCATTATATCAGTGTTAAATATTGCAAATAATTTGTATATGTTCTTCTAAATATCACATTCTACTCCTTTTTACTTTTTTGTCAAAATTTACTGGAATGTGATAGCTTCACGTGATAATCTTCAGAGATTACATCAAGAATCTTGAGGTTCAAAGCTACTTTTCAGTGGTCGTTGGCATGAATTTCATTTTTGAGATTGTAATAAATATGACCAAGAAGAGTAGATAGTGGAGTAAAGAAAATATTCAATTTCTTCTTGGTTTAGATGATGATCATAAACCAGTTGTGCTTTGTGCCAGTGGTTTGTTACCAAACACAACAAATTCCAGCCTTATTAGTCACTTTAATCGTCCATAATTCCATGCCTGGATTCATATTGATGTCCCTCATCCCTCCCTTATTCTCTTGTTAGGTACATTAAGACTGCTGTTTAGAGACAGCCCAGGGACATGAAATCTCCCTGTAGTGTCATTATGCAGTTCCAGTCCAGTGGTGTTATGAATAGAGGTTGTTGCCCATTACCTACTGTCCCCATTCACAATATTGTCACAGCAAGTGCTTCTAGGTGTCACTGCAGGGAAAATTGCACACAGGAGGTCTGTTCACTATCAGATGTTGACCAACAGTTTTCAAGCATGTAAAACACTAAAAATAAGGATCAGTGGGAGACAGCTGTAGCTTCATACTAACGCTTCTTTTCCAGTACATTTTTACAATGATCTGAAAACTGCTGCTCCTTATCACGTCTCCAATCACTTCAAACTTTCAAACTTCATTGCACAGTATGTGATTTTGAAGGTACACCTGGACACAATTCGAGAATCTGCTACATGTTGAATGACACAAGGTAAGTCCCATCCAAAGCATTATGAAGTGTGAAAAAACATCATGAATAAAACTGATACATAAAAGCAAAACACTGGGAGTTGCCTCAACATGTCAGACAACCTGTAGAGAGCGAAACGGTTCAAGTTGATCTCTAATCAGAACTGGGAAAAGTTGAGATAAAAGCTTTTAAACGAGCAGAAGCTGAGAAAGGGGGCAAGGAGGAAGGAATGAATGTCTGTGACGGAGTGGAAGGCAGAAGAGATTAAATTACGTGAATGGCGCTCAACCCTGAAGTCATCAGTGAACATTCCCATGTATGATTTTATGATGGAAGGTAATTGACGAAACTGAAAATGGCTAAGCCCAGTACGCTTCCCTAAAGAACTTCCCTGTCGCTGAGATGACAAACCATGAACAAGAAAGATTCCTTTTTGCTCGGTATGATTCCAAGTGGCAGGGAGTTTTCCCCTCGATTCCCACTGTCTCCAGTTTTGCTCGACTTCCTTGATGTCAGTGTCAGTGACCCTTCTCTCCCCTCTATGTACTACAATAAGAAACTATTGGTTTCTTGGCATTAACAAGAAATCTGAGGAAGCTGTAAAGTTCCAAATGGCTTGCCAA